GTAACAGTGAAGAAAAATGAAGAGTTGGGTATGCAATTTTTGTTGTTGTTGTTGATAGGAAACAATTTCTTTGATGAATGAAATGATACAAAAGGGTAAGAAACCCATCCAAAGGAATTACAGAAAGCTTCTCCAATTTGTTACACATCAACTTGGCTTTTATGTATCTGGGCTTTCAAGGGCTACCCTTTCAAGCAGGATAAGTAGGATATGAAGATTATGTGGTTATCTCATGAACATGACTTTTATTTACCCCTGGGTCTTATGGAATGAGGGAAATGCACGGGAAGGACCCGCTGAATTGCTCATAGAGATTTCTTTTTTCATGGCTTTTTGGTGTAAACTTTTAACTTGCAAATGTATCTTAAACTCTCTTAGACCCAGAGGACTTGTGAATTTTAACTTGGTGAATTTAGCTGTCCTTTAGAGTTTTTGAATAGATTTTGTCCTTAAGAGAGGAGATAAAATGAGATGGACACTATGAGTCATCAAGTGAAGTCTTTCTGAAGTCAATGTTCTCAGGGCTAAACTCTAAAGGGGACCAAATCTCTGTTACCCAAAATCTCAGCACTATTGATTTGGAAAGGAAAAGGGCCGAAAAAGATGAAAATCCAATTTGTCAGTTTCTCTTCCCTCGGCCCCTAGGCTGTATTGTTTGGTCTTTTTGTCAATATATTCTCAATGTTACTTATTAAAAAAAATAATAAATAAAGAAGAGGTGGATTTGTGCTACTCTACTTCGATCTTCCTTGGGTCTCTGATCTCTCAATATCAAATATCAAGGATGGATTTTATGTTGTCCAGGATTGGGTTTGAGATTCTCAAGGCTATCATTGTGAACCGAATTCTACCTGAAACTTGACTTTCGTCGAAAAGAAGAAAAGCCGGAAAATAAACTGACACTTGGAGATAGATAAGATCTTGATTTAATTTGGCTCGAGCAGTTGGTAATTTGACTGGCAAATTTTTTTTGGTTACTTGTGATAATAACCATTACAATGATGCTTTTCTCATTGAAAACAAAGTTCCAGTGGAATGTGGAGCAAATAGATTATTTATTTTCATTAGTTCTTGTACTGCTCTACCCCCTTTGATTTTAAATCTTTATATGGTGATCAGGCTAGCTTTTGCAAGTATGCAGCAAAGACCTATGATGGAAATGAATGGCCGGAACTTCTCTTCAGATAATGGTGCGACATGACTGTCTTTTCTCAATGATTTTTGCTTATGTCTTGTTTTGAACATCTTCTGGGCGTTAGTTGGCTTTATGTGAAAAACTTTGCTATGGTTCTTATAATTAACACTACTTGGAGAGTCTTTGTGTAATCTCCTTTGGTTCCCTCTTGCACTTTTCATACCATCACTGAAAAGTTTAGTTTCTTACCTCTTATACTTTTATCATGCCTGTTAAAAATTCAAACCTCGTAATGTTCACTTTGATGTTGCTTGCTTGTTTATGTACTCGGTGAAGAGTATACTGCACGTTCATTCTGTTTCTTATAACAAGTTTCTTTTTCTTTGGTTGTCTTTGAGCTGTTGTCTGTGTCACATTTCCTTTTTTAATTTTTTGCTTTCTGTAATTAACTTACTGTCATATTTGGCGATAAAGGGGATCTGCTTGATGTTGTCGTACCTCCATTGGCTGAATCTATCACTGATGGAACTCTGGCAAAATTCCTGAAGAGTATGTTATTTGGCTATTATATATCTTCCTTGTTGCTACTTAATACACTGATCTCTTTAGTAATATATTAAGAAGCCATTCTGATATGTTGAGAGCAGATCCCGGTGATAGAGTAGAACTGGATGAAGCAATTGCTCAGATTGAAACAGATAAGGTGTTTTCTTGATTTATCGATTTATGGCGGAAAAATTATATATTTTTTTCATTCCTCTGTGAATATGATATGACATTTCATTTAAATCCTGTGCTGCTAATTTCCTATAGGTTACAATTGATGTCACTAGTCCTGGAGCTGGTGTCATCCAGAAGGTGCCTATTTCTGGACTTCTACTGGTTAATTTTATTAGCTACGCTTGTTATTAATTGATGGTTAATTAACGTAAATGTTGGCAGTTTGTTGCCAAGGAAGGAGATACAGTTGAACCAGGTACCAAGGTTGCTGTTATTTCAAAATCTGCTGAAGGTGTAACTCATGTTGCTCCTTCTGAGAAGACATCAGAGCAAGCTGCTTCTCAGACAGCTCCAGCTGAAAAAATAGAAAAGGAGAAAGAAAAGCCTAAAGTTGAAACTCCTGTTAGTGAGAAGCCTAAAGCACCATCTCCACCACCTCCTAAACGCTCAGCTACAGAACCCCAACTTCCTCCCAAGGATAGGGAAAGACGAGTAAGGCTAATAATTTAAAATCTGCATGGCCCTAAAATGGATGCACGTTTTATTTTTGTTTGTAAAGACCGGGTATTTTCATGGATTATCCTCATTGGCTTTACACCTTGGGATTGTCATGATTGTTAGGTTCCAATGACAAGGCTTCGGAAGCGAGTTGCTACACGTTTGAAAGATTCTCAGAACACATTTGCCATGTTGACGACCTTCAATGAAGTTGACATGTAGGTTTTCACCTGTCATAATCTCTGACTTTCAGCAGGTTTTTGGCACTGGTTTCCTCTGCCTTTGAAGAAACCATCATTGCAGCCTCCTAATTTTACCTTTCAAACATGCTTATAGTTTGCTGCTTGGTTTAACATTATCAGTTCCTACTTCTTTTAACCCATCACATTATGCATGAATGCTACTGGTACTTCTGTTTCTATAGATTTACTGAGTGTTTGTTATTTTAGTTTATCCAATAGTCTCCATTTCAAATTCCAACATTAATTCACTTTAAACTGCAGTTATCTTGGGGCATTTTAAGGATATGTTGGGGATTTGCAGTTCCCTATTTGACAAATTTTTAGTTTGAATTCTATTGGCTTTTATCTTCGTATCTTTATGCATTAATGATTGGTCTTTACTGCTGCATTTTTAACTCGTGAACTCTTCTTTTATGTAGGACAAATTTGATGAAGCTTCGTTCTGAATACAAGGATGCTTTTGTGGAAAAGCATGGAGTCAAGTTGGGTCTTATGTCTGGATTTATTAAAGTATGTATCTGTAAACTTTGTGGACGTGTTGATTCTAGACGCAGACAAAGTATGAGTGTATAGCCAATTCACTTTTTTCCTTTCATGTTTCAGGCTGCTGTCAGTGGGCTTCAGAATCAACCTATTATTAATGCTGTGATTGATGGGGATGATATCATCTACCGAGATTATATAGACATCAGTATAGCTGTCGGCACTCCTAAGGTCTGTTGGAGTTTAATATAGCTTTAGAGTTTAAGGACCTAAAGGAGAATTCTAAACGAAAAAAAGGGGAACAGTTTTCTTATCAAATCTCTGCTTGTTTAATGCCCCATGATTCCTCCTAATTTCTGAAAAGATTCTTTCAATATAATGCAAAAAAGGCATTGCTCTTAACATAAGAGAGGTTTAAAATTTATGAGCGCACCTACTCTTTTGAAAGGTGGCTCATATTTGCTGATGTTTGATTGCATCTGAAGATTTTTAGGGCCATTCTAAGAATTTCTAGAAATTGTTGTTGGTTTCTGAGTATGTCAGCAAAATCAGCATTGAATTCATGTGATCACGATACCAATATAAATTGGCACAGAACCAAAGTCCATCCAAAGAACTAAAGTTTCTGCTCACAATCTAGATCATTAATTACATAGAGATATGAGGTTGCTACATTATGTTTCATCATTTTTACATGCAGGGTCTTGTTGTGCCAGTTATTAGAAATGCCGATAAGATGAATTTTGCTGAGATAGAGAAGGAGATTAACACCCTTGCAAAGAAGGCAAATGATGGCACTATATCAATTGACGAGATGGCTGGAGGTTCATTTACAGTATCCAACGGTGGTGTTTATGGAAGCCTTTTGAGTACCCCCATTATTAATCCCCCACAGGTTTGTGCTCATAAAACATTCACCCCTACTCCCAAAAAGAAAATATATCTCATATAATCATGTCATACTTCATCAATGATATCACCTTATATTTACGATTTTTTCACGCTTCCAAAGAAACTTTTGAACAAAGATATTCATGGCATAAACTTATCTGAATCTATGGAGGTGAAAATGTTCCCTCAGATCCATATACGTTGGGTGTATAGTATATTATCCATGGTTTGCTGGTTCATTCATTCTACAAGTGACTTCACTATTACCATCCTTTTTTTTTGTCTTTTCAATTTGGATCTTGATAAGAAAACTGGAAATCTGAACTTTCTTGGCAGTCGGCAATCTTGGGAATGCATTCTATAGTCTCCCGTCCCATGGTGGTTGGAGGCAATGTCGTCCCAAGGCCAATGATGTACATCGCTTTAACGTACGACCACAGACTCATTGATGGGAGAGAGGCAGTCTTCTTTTTGCGCCGCATCAAGGACATTGTCGAAGACCCACGGAGACTTCTCCTTGACATATAAAGTCTCCGAAACCATAGCTGTCACGAAGAAGTCTTCAGCATGTGGTGTTTCCAAAGGGTAAAACTCCAAAACCTTTAAACCATTTGAGAAATAAATACGTTTTCCTCAGATTTCAAGTTTTGTAGCATTTTCCATGCTTGTGCTCCCATAAGTTGTTATTGCGGCCTGTCATAATTGATACTGATATGAGAGATTTCGTTGGAAAGCATGTTTTTAAAAGCGATTTTCCATGAATTGTGCTGTGGGAACTTCCACGTCAATATTGTCGAATTGTTTTGATAATGGAGTTATTTATGGGATTTACTACCCAATATGGCAATAGTTTCAAGTTACAAGTCTCTGTGGTGTTTAGCTTGAGGAGTAAGTACTTTATTCGCAAGTTTTTCAGGGGTTTCCATATTCCTTTCCCAGTCTGAATAGCTAGTCAGTTCGAGACTTGCCACAGCCAGTTCGGGACATATTAGTTGCAACTTTCAAGTTCTTAGTTGGTAATGGTATTTCTGTCTCAGATGATTTAGAGGTGGTGTTATTGACTTTTACTAGACGTAACTGTAGAGTTGCATGAAAACTTTTTTTTTTTTCCCTGCTGGGAAAGTACGGTGGTATACCTTTTTTTCTTCTGCAAAACAAAATAAAAATGGGGATTGGAAGCAACATTCTTGAAAACTAGTTAATTACTGGACATCTCTGATTCTTTTGAGATGTCAGCGAAATATGGATTCCAAAAGCATGCCATTTTATATCAAGAAGTCACTCCTACCATGAAATATATCAGAATTATGCGGTCTGAAAGTTGTGAAATTTTTTGTATATTTTGTTTTGGTTAACTTTAGTTTTTGTAATTTTAACTTATATCATTTTCGAAATGTTTATTTTATTTATAGCACTCTTAAAAAATGACCAATTTGGTCCTTATATGCAAAATTTAACACAAGAAAATTTTTAATACAAATCTATAGTTATATTTTCAATTAAGTGAAGTGGTATGGTTAAATTATTATCAAAAGAATTAATATAGATTAAAATGGATGTTTTGAGAGTATGGTGACTAATATAAACTTGTTTGAGGTATAGATAAAAAGGATGTTTTGAAAGTACTTGTATTTATTATCGTGGTGGTGGGTGGCTGGTGGGTTGGATTGAGATCTGGTCTCTAGAAACCTTTGATCCAAATAAAATGTTGTAAATTTCTCTCCATTTAACTTGAGC